ATGTGAGAACAGGGCGAAAAATAGGAAGCTTGACTTGCGAATAGGATAACAAAATAAATAATAGAAGCATTAAACATGATTAATCACTTAACAACGTAACTAGGCGTAATAATTAATAATAATAATATAATAATAATAATAGAAATAATTATAATCGTACGAATGGCTAAGTGAGTGTTAATAATTACAAGAACAGGTTGTCTGGCACGGCGATCGCTTAATTGCCTGAAGACACGTTGAACGTGTTTTACACATCGTTTCCCTTTCTCTCCATTTCATTCTTCTGTTCGTGTGTTTAGTTAAACGGGCTTCTTGCGCAAGAGATTCTCTCAGTTTTAAGGCTGAATCGCGGGAAGGACGGCGCGTCGAGCCGGAAGTCTCAGTACCGAACGAAACTCAAATATGTATTTGCCAAACATCGAAACAAAACGTGCTTTCTTCGCTTCTGAGGCGAAAAGGTACTTCCGCTGAGCGCGGTAGTACGAAACAAAACAGAAAACAGAAAAACCAAAAAAAAAAAACAAACTAAAGAGATTATCGCGACGCGATAAAAGACGATCTCGACGAACATCGTCGTGCGATTCTCAAAACTGCGAGAAAGGCTCAAAATATACGAAATCGGAAACACGCAAATTTTTGCTAGAATAATAATTAGCAAATAAATTTACTTGCGTCGTTCGAATCGTAACGGTTGTTTATCTTTTAGGAATTTTCTACTCAGATAAGAATTTTGCCCGTATCTATTTAAAAAAAGAAAAAAAGAGAACGAGGCCTTCCGCCTTTCGCGGTCTCCCCCTCGCGTGTTCTTCTTTTGTCCCTCCGACAAGCCGCCTTCCGAGTAATCGTTCGATCGGCAGGGGCAAGCTAAAATGGCAAGCAGAGAGCGACAGTTTTCTTCTTAATGGCTAATTACTCGTTCCGTTCCTCCTCGAAACGCTTAAACGGTAGACTAATTAGAAAAAAACCTCGGTATACAAAAATACAGATATACATACCCGTGTGCGCGTTCAAACGGCACGCACACCTCACCACCGTGTTTCGTTTACAACGCACCTGTGTGTGTTTCTCTCTCTTTCCCTCTCACTGTGTATCTGTGTATCTGTGTACGTGTGTATGCGCGCGTGTGTGCGTGTATGTGTATGCGTTGCGTGTCCATACGAACGAGCGTCGTAAGTGTTTTACAAACGGGAGTGACTCGCGATATTCGTCACTATGCCTCTTACCGCGGCCACGAACGGGAGACCCACTGGACAACGGCCGAGTTATGGCAAGGAAAAAGGCAAACGGTCGAGGTTGAGCAAGGTTGAAGTGGTAGATACCACGCGTGGTCTCCAGCCAATTCGCATACGCGCGCAAAATTATGCCCGACGCGCTTTGTCGACGAAACAGTGTTTGTCCCAGGATTTTCGCGACACTACATCTAAATTGACTAAACGAAATTCTCCCACGTGACCCAATTTCTAACAAGATCACCGATTCTCGCGAACACCGCCGCTATAGTCGAGACGGAATCAATTGGTCGCTCGGGGACACTTCCCTCACACCCTCCGCTTTTTTAAAAGGCGCCTTTTAGCAAAAGAACAAAATTTCTATTCGCCAAACTTTGCTAGGAGTCTGGTTTATATTCTAATACAGAGAATATGTACCAAATTTCAAATAATTAATATGAAGAAAAATACTGATACGTGTTCACGTAAAAAAAAATTATTTGTTTGAGATTGACTTTTCTTTGCATCCCTATCCAAACGTGTGCATTCGTAACTTAATGTAACAGTGATATGTATCGAATATAGTGTTTTAACTATATTTCATCAGAAGCCAAATGGTGGGGGTAACGGTTCGACGACCTTGAGCGGCCAATTCATTCCGTTTCGCTAATAAGGCCACTTTAAACGCCCGTCGACAAAGCGTTCGAGACAGAGAGCTGTCCTGTGGATCGAATCGAACCGCGAAACTCCGCAATCGCCTTACGAAGTTGTGAGTATTTCTACCGGAGAGCCAGAGAGAATGCCCCTTACGATTCAGATTCAGCGATCGGAACTTTTGAAAACGGTCACTTCGTCATTGGTCAGGATGTCTCTTCGCGCCAACTAACAACTAATAGCATTACCGTCGTAGAAACGAAATTTATGCGCGACAAGACGGATTTCTCTCGCATCGCGAACATCATAGAGGCATTCCTTGCAGCTCGTTGCAGCACGAATCGTCCAACAACGGTCGTGATTCGATACTCCGAGTCGACGAGATTCCGCAATTCGTCGGATCGATCTGTCGATCGAAAAACGCCAATAGATCGCGAGAGCATATTCCATCGGGGAAAAATGGCGAATACCCGGAGGAGAAGCTGCGACGGAGCCATTTCCGCTGCGGTTTTTCGATTTAACAAAATTTTTTTATCAACGAAACAACTCGCACACCGCGCTCGGTGAAACGTTGCGAACGATTTTATCCTCCCCCTCCGCTGGTTTTCCACCTACATTTTTCGCGGATCCTTTCGCATTGTATAAAAAAATATCTTCTCTGCTCCTCCGCGTGCGCGCGCGCGCGTCGAAACAATCTCACGCCGACAGTTACAATGCGAATAATATTAATAATAATAATATTAATATTCATAATAATAATAAAAACGCAATAATAATATCAATATTACCCACTAATTAACGTTACGTCTAGACGCTTTATTATGCTTTAAGTTTCTTTCTTTTCTGCAGGTACGGTTAACGTTCGTTCTACTTTCATCCGTTCGCTAGGAAGAACTCCCAGCCCTCTTGTCGCTCCTAGTCCTTCGTCATCGGGCTTGGATTTTCCTCGTTCGCGTTTTCCCAACCGTTTTCTCAGTCGCGCGTAACAACGAATTTTCGATAAATATTATATCACGACGCCGTTCAAGAGGAATTTCGCAACGCACAATAAAAAAACATTCTCTCCTGTTCGATCGTTAACAACTAACTCTACCGACGCAACCTCGGTAACCGGTCTAAACATTCAAACAATCGTCTCGAGGGCAGCGCGTCAACGTCTAGAGCGAATTTTTACACGGCGAGTCGAGAGGAACCGCGCCGATAAACGAACGTCTCTCGTTTGGAAATCGTTCGCTTCTTTCCAACGCCAACCACGCTGGGCTAAAGGAACATCGCTAACAGATTCGCATCGCCAACGATTTCTCGATCGACAAAATTTGGCACAAGTTTAACTTCGTTCGCGAATCGACGGAACGCTTCGACGGAAGGCGAGATTCACGAGCGTTTTCGGGCACAGCGATACGATCGCGATCGATCGCAGGTCGGATACCAGCGAACCGATATCGACGCCCAGCCTTCAAGCACCGTTTTCACCGTGGATCTTCGTGGCGCGCGCTTCAGTGGGAATGCTTTCAGATCGCTTGGGTTTCGAGTCTACGAGTATCGATCGAGGAAGAGATCGTTTAACGCTTTGACTGCCATGGTGGTCCCTGGTGACCCGGCTCCAATCATTCGAAATTTCTTCAACCCTTAACCGATATCGATAACTTTCGTATTTAAAATTAATATCGTATTACCCAACTGTATAAAATAACAGTTGTACAAGGAAATTGATATTTTCTATTTGTCAATAGTATACATTAGGGCGTTAAAATACCAGTTAGGAGTTGAAGCGCTCCCACCGATTGGAATCAGAGACGGGCAAATTTTTATAAATTACGAATAACACGAATTTTTATATAACGAGTAACGTATAAACAAGAATTTTGCTTATCTTCCAACGAATCCTAATTCTTGTAACTTCTTGCCGTAAAATAGCAAGTAAACCATTTAAATATTTGACACGTCTAATGTTCACTCTATAATTTCACAAACTGGCAATCAATGTGTTAACGGAAATTGGGCAGTCGAAGAGATTCCAGCAACGATCGCAATTTCGTTCGAAGTCATGGCCGAACATCGAAAGCGTTAAAAGCTACAGAATGTACGCAAGAAAAAGAATGATCCTTACGGACAAGAGACTCAAAATTAAAATGAAAAGAAATTGGGAACCTTCTTCTTCGCGAATAAAATAAAAAAAGGAAAAAAACAAAATTGATGCGTGTAAAACGAAACGCATATTTCAACGAAACGTCAAGCATTGCTGGAGAAATCCACGAGCAACCGCGACTTTGACGTGCGACAGAGAACCTCGGAAGATGCGCGACGCGCAAGTTCGGAGGAAGCAACGGGGAAGACGAGGAAATACGATAATACTGTCAAAAGCCTTAAACGCGCCTTAAAACGACTCGCGTAAAATTCGAAGACCGACGGATCGACTTTAACGCGCGGGGCAAATTTCTTTCCGAAATTATCGGAATTCCGCCACGGCGAAGAATTCCTTTAAAAACGCAGTCTGGTACCTTCGGATCAAAGGATCGATTTTGTCTCGTTCTCTCGAAGATCCTCTCGAGAGAATTGAAGTTTTGAAAATTGTGAAACTCGACAAACTGACAATTTTCTAGAACTATGAAATCGAATTCTTTTTAACTCTTTTATGAAAAGGAAGAAAGACTAAGAAACTGTATATACGAGTGGTGCTACTTTGATTATTTTTTCAATCTTGACTTCACGGTGGTTGACGATAGAGGTAGTCAATATTAATAATTTCTTTATTCCGTTTCAAACCAACAAAAAATATCCCGTACTAAACTACAATCAACCCCTTTGTGACCAAACAATGTACGTTTCCAATAAAATATTCAGATTCTGAAATCAGTTTGCCTCGCACCTTCTTCTTTATTCCTCTATCGGAATCCCATTAAACTTACCAAGAAAAAATATCGAAGACTGCGTTTAGATGTCCACGCACGAAGCGTTTAAAAGAGTTATGTCTCTAATTCGTGCCTTCTACAAGAAAAAATGATTAAATCACGAAGAACCAGAAAAGTACCAGACTGCCCACTGAACTCTAGACTCAGCGATCCCTGTGTGGCGACCCGGTCCAGAGAGGATCGATCGTCCCTTGCCTTCCGCCGTTGACCTCTTCAACCCCTGTCTTGTCGTCGACGTCGCTGAGACCTCGGGACGGTGGCCAAGGGCCTCTCCGTCGATGCCGGACGTCCCCTTCCTCGAGATCCGCGGTGGACCGCGGCAGAGAAACGTGGTCATCCAGCGGACCGTCGTCATTCGGCCTTGATCGTGGCGGATGGGGAGACCATCTCCTGCGCAAACGTGGGGCTGTCCTCGCCGGCAAGGAGGCCGGGTTCGCTCTTAGGCGTCTGAACGTCGGGGAATCTGGCGTGGGTCCTGAGGTGCCTGGTGATCATGTCTCTGCGGCAGGCCGCGTACGCGCACTGGGGACACTTGTACGGTTTCTCGCCGGTGTGCGTTCTCTGGTGCGTGCTCAGGTGATCCGACCTACTGAATACCTGGCCGCAGACCTTGCACGTGTACGGTTTTACGCCCGTGTGGAGCCTCATGTGTCTGGTGAGCATGTCAGACCTGGCGAAGCTTCTCTTGCATACGTCGCAGAGATACGCCTTTGCGGACGCGTCCTGGGGCCCTTGTCTGCGATGCCTCGAGGCCATGTGCTTCGCTAGACGGTCGTGGAGGCTGAACATCTGGCCGCACACGGGACAGACATAAGCCACGTCGACGCCCGGTGGCATCTCCTCCACCACGGGCGAGACCTCGAGGTTGTAGCGGACGGCGACACTCTCCTTGGTTGTCGGGGACGCGACGTCGCCCTTCACCACGGGTACGCTCACCGAGCTCCTCGATACGATCCCGGGTGGCAGCAGCTGGAGGGCCGGCGGTCTCCCGGCGACTGCCGCCGCGGCCGTCGCCATCAGGTTCTTCATCGAGAGATCCAATGGGGACTCCTGGGGGCTGGTGGTGTCGCTCTCGAGAGAGCCGCTCCTCAGCGGATGGTTGACGAACACGGACGAGGGCAGAGGTTTCTGGTCCCATCCCGGCACCAGGTCAGAGTCCGAGTGGCTGCGTCCACGGAAGATGTCCGGCAGGTACTTGGTGTGCATGTAGTGCTCGAAGCTGTACGACGAGAGGGATCCGGGCGTGAGGGGCGGCAATGTCAGCGGGGTGAGCGGCGTCAGCGGCGTCAGGGGCGTCAGGGGAGAGATCGGTGAAGGCAGCACCATCGGCGGGGTGACGGACTGGGAGCACTGGACGCAGGTGCAGCCCGCGTACTTGGGCGCCGAGGATCTCTGATGAGACGGGTGCAGGTGATCGTACGCGTGATTCGCGTTGTTCCTGTGATGATGCCTGTGCCGATGACGATGATGATGCGGGTGATGGTGCGGATGATGAGGATGATGATTCTGCTGCTGCTGTTGCTGCTGCTGCTGCTGCTGCTGTTGCTGATCGGCGTCGTTCGGGGTGCTCTCATCCTCGGTGGGCGTCACAGGTTCCTCGCTCTTCAGCCTGAGGGGCAGCAAACTTATGCCTGACGGCGCGTCCACGGCCGATCTCGAAGACGACCTCGGCGAACCGAACACGTCCTCCTCCTCCTCGGACACTGGACCGCTGCCCTCGAATCTCAGCACCTCGCCCTCGCTGGGCGAACTTCGATGTTGCAGGATGTCCAGAACCTGATCGAGACGCTTCCGTCTCCGCAGGTTTCGATGGTTCCGGTTCGCAGTCGCCGCCAGGGTGTTGTTGTTGGTGCAGGAGGGCGGTGGCGGCTTGGCCGGACCTGGGGGCGCGGCTGCAGCGTCCTCCACGGCGCTCTCGGCCATCGTCATCGAGGATGCGCGGCACCCGCCGCCTGGGCCCCTTATGCCGCCTACTACACCCTCGGCTACCACCGTACTGCCTCCCACCTCGTCCTGAAACAGCCAAACGCCGCTCTTACTTCTCTTTGATCCCCTGTAATCTCGGATATTGTTAAATTACAGCCTCTACCCGCGCGCTCATTTCCGATTGCTTATGAAATCGCTGGCTACGCGTAATATTATGAATCATCCTTTTAGTGCCGGACACGCGGAACACCTCCGTGCACGCGGTACGCCCACGAGCTTATCTCGCGTCGTCCGCTGCCCGGCCGCCATTACGCGAACCGAAGAAGCACCGCGGTGAAGTTTAGGAAAAAACGAGGCTAAAATACTAATTTCGATCGAGCGTGCTTACGTCATAATTAATTTTGTCCTTGTCAATGAATTAGGTTATGTTGCATTGTGCTTCGATAAAGACTTCGATCTTTGTACAAGTACGTATCGTAGTGGTATTTAAGGCATACAATTTCTATTCTTTTCAATTTTTCAAAAACTCCATATGGATTATCGTTGCTCACCGAATGGATGCAACGCGCCAGAGGCGCGACGAAGAAACAGGAAGAGGGGTGGACCTTCGACCCGCAGGGATATCTATCGAGGCAACAGAAGACTGGACGCGACGTTGAACGAAAGCCAAAACTCGAATCGCGGTCGTAGTAAATCACCATTAGAGCATCCGCTTGATTTTTTGCGTTGGAACGGTGTCGGCCGACCATCTGTCATCGAGCCTCGCGTAACAATTAAACAAAAGGTGCACGATCGCGCGATCGAATGCGCTTCCGAGATGGCATCGGTGACGCGCAAAGTTCCGGAATCTGCTACGCATGTCGCTGCGTATCGTTGAATGCGCGCGCAATTTCGATCGTCTTTGATTCTCAAAATGCGACACGATTTTCAAGTTGTTTCATTCCTACGTATACGTTGGTTTTATTACATTTTTCGTGAAATTTTTAAATTAATGGATGTTCAGTGTTAATAGGAAAATTATTTTGAACAAGAAACGTTGAAAAATAGTAGTAGATTGCCTTTGAATAATGCGCTGAGTTTTCTATACTGCTTTTCTATATCTTCTTGTTGTACTATTTAAATAAGTTCGAAACGAGACAAACGATGACTTAAAACTTCCCTAATTTTACGCAGACTACATGACACCCAAATTACACCAAAATCTGTTGTATAGTCTTTAAGATACGGCACGGAACGAGCCACGATCGAGCAGAAATTCGCTCGCGTAGTCGCTTAGACCTTTTCTGTCTGTTTATTTTAATGTGGCCGCGGACCACACGGCTCGTCTTGTTCGACGCGACAACGGCACTTTGTCATAAAACCACGTGTAAGTCCGAGAGGTGTATCCGGCGACTATTTGAAATTTAAATCGCGCGCGGCGCACACCGAGCGCATGAATCAACGTGTACGAACGATGAATCGAGCTGAATCCTCGTTTTTCGGTGTAGGCGAGTTTCCGTTCCGAGGAGAAGCTGCCGGACTAGTCCGGGGACGCCATAAAACTTGCGATATTGCCTGTCTCTTCGATGCTGTCCCCTCCAACCAAGTAATCGAACGCAGGGAATTCGTAATCGCATCGTAGGTGCGCAACCAAACTTTAAAATAGTTTCAAATTGCTTCTCTACAGAGTCCAAAAAAGAACATATAGTACGAATCAGAAAGCATCGTATATCTGACCAAAGGAAACGAACGACGTAACTTTAGAAGATTAAAAATCGCATTTGATTATGTAAACATAAACTGTCTTCAACATTAAACCTACTTGAAGGAATCTTGAGAAGGAAGGTTTCCAAGATCTATACTCGAAGTTTGACGCCCTATTTTCGAAGCATCGCGCGTATCCGGAATTCCGTCCAGTATCCCCGACGACGACTTTTCCAGCGCGACAATTAATCGCATCCGCGGAATAGAAATTCGCGTTCCCGGAAGGCGCGGCCGCGACACAGATGTCCCGACGAAGACTTTCCAGCGATTCGAGCCTATCGCATTCCTCTGCGTACGCGCGCAGTCACCGCTCTTTGAAATCGATTTGATCCCGAGTTCCTCGCGCCGACGGATCCTTTCATGGCGAAACAGCCGAATGCCTGACCGGCATTAACGCAGAAAAGCGCGCGGAAGCTCGCGGCAACGACCGTCGAGTTAAATGGCCCATACACGGTCGAGGTTTACCCGGAGATTTGCCCACAGGTGCGGATCGATTGTCTTCTTCGTGAAAAAGATTAATCACGGACAAACCTTTCAAAAACCTTTCTAAACCTAAATACATCATCGACACCAACGACAATAATTCTTACAACATCGAGCTATTTAATTCGTTTCGCAGTAAAAAATCGTATGGGGGTGTAATTGAATATGGAACACGATTGCCCCGGGCCTGTTAAGGGAACCGGCTTTGGGATTCATCGATCCACCGAGCGCAAACGCGTCAAGGAGCTGGCGGGTAATATTCATAGCGCATCGAGAGCCACGATAGAGACCGTACATTGTATCGAGAGCCACCGATGAACATTCATTTCGAACCGGCCGGGCATCCGCCGGTTCCGAGAGCCCAACAACCGTCTCGCTATCGATGCGATCTCCTTTGTATCCGACCGTCGATGGACTTCCATTTTCCGTGGCAAGATACTCGTGGCCATTCGACGCAATATTCGTATCTGGCATCGAAAGATCCGCAGCGGATAGCGAGTCTCACGGCGGTCCCCGGGCGTCCCTGTTCTTCCTACCGCGGCGATGATCGTTTTCTTGTTTCCTTCGTTTCTCTCTTTTCCCTTCTGCCGTTGGCCGTCCGCGCGGTCGGTAGAATCTCGCAGAGAGAAAGGGCCCCCGATGATCGGTCGTAAAACGTAAAGGGGACTCGTAAACGGAGTGAAAAGATGTCAGAACGTAAAAGCCGAGAACAGGTCCCCGTCGAGGATGTGTGGGCGTACGGTTGCTGCCATCCTCTCCGCTTTCCCCTTCTACATCATCCCACCTCCCTTCTCAGGCATCGTCTGCTTCCACTCGGTGTTCCCCGCGCTGTTCCTTTTTGCCCCTCGTTCCTTCGCGACATCGAGAACTCCCCCTCTTCTACCATCGGAACGATTATTTCAAGCAGTCCGCTCGCACGCTTCGAGAGATCGAGACCCGACCGAGAGAGTTTCACGTGAAACTCGAGAGGCCGGTGCTTCTACTCGTCCGACTTCCCTTTCTCCGCCACCCGGGGGGACTTTATTCCCCGACACTCTGTCGAAGGGCATTCGGGAAAGCTTAATGGTCGGCCGGTCACGTTTTGAGGCTGATTCGCCTGGACGCGGCGTCGACCGTTCGTAGAAATCAATCCCGGCGACGGTCGTCGCTTTGCGTCACCGATTATGTAACCCGATTACCGTGTTTCATTAGAGAGGAGAAACTTAATCGACTGGTTAGATTCCTCCGCGTCGATGTCCCGTGGACGCCTCGAGTCTTTTCTCAGTTTTCGTCGCGGATCAAGCACCCAACCGGAGCCTCACCATCTTTCACCCAGGAGAAGCAACATCCTCCATTTTCAAAATGTTCTCGAAAAGAGTGAATGTTTACACAAGGAGTCAGTCACTGCATTTGAAAGAGAGATATACTTTGTAAAATAAAATAATCGAACAGAGAATTGTATTCATTTTCTTATTATCATTTAACTCTCTGCTCTGAAAGTCTATCCAACTATCGAGACAACTTTTCAATGAACTTCGAGCTTGTGAACGGGTCATTTTCCACGTAGTATCGGAGGCTTACCCGCGGGATTTGTGGACCATCTTGGCGCTGTGTTTCATGAGGACACTGTATCAAACCTGCGGGCAAACCTCCGATAAACTTGGATCACGTATGGGCCGTTTGAACCGCGACGCGACTCTGAGGAGAATTTGCAGAAGGGTCGAGCGAAGGATCATCGGTGAAGAATTCCAGCAGGAATGCCCTCGGGGAGGCACCTGTAACCGCGGCTCGACGGGAGAAACAGAACAGGTTGAGACGTGGGCGTGGGTGGAGCGCTTGATCTTTCTCTCCTGCGCGATCCGTCCGTATACCGGGTGCTTCGTCGCTCTGGCGATGGACGCGATCCGCTCGCGAATCATTTTTAAACGGTCTCAATCTCGTCCAACAAATTCAACATCGTGGCGTGGAAATTCGTAAAATGTAGAGTCTCGAATCTCGAATGTCTTTTGCCTTCCATCGATTTAAACAGTTGCAAATTCGATCGACACGGTCGCCACGGCCACGTTCGGTTCAGTAATCGTTCTTTCGAAACCGCGTAAAAATTTATTTTATTCGCCAGAAGGTCGACGAAGTCTTCTCGAAACCGAATGGCGAAGAAGCGAGATTTATTAAAGGCCTCACCTCTCCCCGTTATTTCCGAAATTTCTTTGCGTCGCGTTACATCACCCGCGAGAATCGCTTGGTCATTCGACGGAGCCTCTGTCGCCTTCCTTCGATCGGCAGAAAACTTCAAAGCCACTCGTTCCGTCGCCCGCATCAAGAGACTCGTTCGTCGTCCCGAAAGGGACGAGAAAGAAATTCTTTCGTGCAATTTGCCATTGTATATCCGCGAACTTATCTCGAACAGCTGTAAACTGTTCCTTTCTCGAGTCCACCGGTCGCCCGCATCGAAGTTTACGAGCCAACAGATCGACGATCGCAAAGACGATCCAACATACTGTTTACGAGTTAATTACTAATTCGATTCCATCTAACTTTCCACGGACCAGTGTTTTCTAAAGTAAAATTATATTGAATATTTTCGATATGTTCTTGCGTAGAACGAGCGTCGATTCAACGCAGATACATTTAGTAATACCCAGGCTTGTCTATAACCTTCCTAATCTGAAGATCGCGAACGTATTCCACCCCCTGGCGAAGCGCTACCAGGGATTCGAAATAATTGACCCCCTCGTCGTTATCCGAGTCATAAAAGAACGGGTCTAGAAGTCCCACCAGGCTCTAATTGGCGTAGGAAAGTCTTCTCTTGGATCCAGTTTGCTGCTTAAGTTTGTAATATAATAAAATAAGAGATCGAGGTAGTCAGATTTTACGAATAGAGC